CAAGTTGTTCGGGTTTTTTCATCTAAAAAAGCGACATTAATTTTGTGACGACCTAATACTTTTGACATGATGATGTATTCTCTGGAGTCACTGTGTTTTTTATATATTGACACATTTTATGGAGACAGTTATGGTAAGTTTCAACGTACTAATACATTTCCTGGACCACTGTTACCTTTATTCTCTAACACGTAGCAAACACTCTTTCATTGAAGATCTTTTAGACTCAGTAGAAAACAACAAAACTGCACATTTAGTATGGTTTTCAACAGAATAAATCGCAAACAGTAGTATTTAGTACAGTTAAGGATGTAATAAGGGCGTAATGGAAGTTGTCTGTTTACTGAGAAGATGACAATTAATTTGGCTTTCATTTATGTTATTTGATAATAAAACTTAATACCTTTGGTGGTCAGACGCTACACGAGAATTTCTTTACGGGAAGGAACACATTTTCTATCCTTCAATTTCTAAATGATATATTATAGTTGTAAGAAAATAACATAATATTTACGTTATAGGTTATAATGCTTGTCTGACTATAATGGACGTAGCGTGTATGTCTGTATCTATCTATGCATGTAACCAAAACTCCTGCGCCATCTATTGAATGGTACCGCAAACAAAATCCATAAACAAATCTCACACTTTGGGTATTCAAGATTCAGACAATTAGGAAAATAACTGTGGTATATGGAACAACCATTTCTTTATAATATAACACAATAAACTAAAAGTACTCACCTCGTAAGAAGAACATGATTTTCACTAGGACTGTACGTGAGGGTTTGATTATATAATTATTGATGTTATTTTTAAATGTAGTACTGAGAAACTGGAGTTCTTAGAAAAACTTATTTTTCAGTAAAGGGTAGCACTTGTAATATGTAATTACTAGCACAAACGGCCGTCCTAAGGGTGGCGTTTCTGTTAGTTTTTTAAAAGTTATTATGTAATAGAATATGAGATCTTTTTTGAGTTATTTATTGTATTAATTTTGTTTTTTTACAAGAAAACGACAGGATTTTTCTTTTAAATAACATTTAACAATTATTATAAAGAAACATAAAAATAACTTATTGAAAATAAATCAAAACTAAATGAGCTGTACAGTATAGCAAAACAAGAAATCATACCAGTGTTACTGTTTAGAAAGATAACGGCAAATATATTCTGTGTGTATTATAATGGTTACCGAACGAATAACAAAAAAGTTGTATATATTTATCAATGTTTTGGACACAAATATTAAAAGTTTATAGCTAAAGGGAGTGCTCGAACCCCTCAAACCCACACCCCCTTTTGTTGCGCGCATGTTGTTCTGAAATATTTGGTTCTTCATCATCAAAAAACAAGAAGTTAAATATTGTGTTTTCTAGGACTTTACCTTTTCTCGTGTGTAGGAATGACGGGAAATTGGGTCGTCATTTACGAAACGTTCCTGATTGGTTGAATAAGGTCAGCCAGTGCCCTGAGAAAAAAAAAATGCTTGCGTTGTATATTCATTATTTTCTAGGAATAAGGTGATACTTGTTTATAATGATGAGTAAGTAAATAATGAGTCGTAAGTAAAAATCAAAATTAAGAATGTTTTAAAGTGTTTTTATATTCGTAATTTTACTTTCCTTGCATATTGTATGTTTTACATATTTTCTTTAGTTGTATGGTTTATATGTGTTTATTTATTTTTTCCTTAGAGGTGACGGATCATCCCCCAAGTTCGCCTTGATAAGCCTCACTGTACAAACCTGACCGTCGACTTCCTTGGGTCGCTGCCAAACAAGTTGCTTAGTATTCCTCGTTAAGCCTAAAGGCCGTGACGAAGCCTTGCCGCATCCCAGTTGCGGGGTGGCCTCGGTTTTTACGACAGTTCAGGCGATGATTGGATGCCACAGGACCGGTATGTAAGGTGTGTGCATGTTTTGACAAGGAACAGGTAGTACAAGTTATATGCCTAGCGGCAAAGTTCTTGCTCTGTCCCAGAAGGGTTACAAAAACGAAGTAGGACTCCTGGAGACTCAAGGCCTCTTCTCCTGGTGTATAAATACTTCCGTGAAATAAAACGTTCGTGTGTTTGGACGTTTAGCTAGCCATGGCCTTTCGTGTCATTAAGCGGAAGGACATCAAGAAACAGTCCTATTACGTGTGGTTCCTAGGGGCCAAAGAGAGTAAGGGGTTAAGAGGCGAGGAGTATATTCAACCAGTTCTCAGCTACTTGTTGGATAAAGAACGCGAACTGGAACCCATGAAAGTGACCCTTCAAGTCAGCAACAAAGGGATAAAGATTATACAGAACGTGCCGAGAAAGAACAATAAAGGTAAGACAGAACAAATCAAACACTTCATTCCTCATCACGCCATCACGTGTGTTGTCCAGGAAGACAAGCCGGACGACGACATTGTGTGTGCCATTCTGCTTTTGTATAACCCACTGACCAAATGTCCCGTTCACGTGCACGCTTATCGGTGCGATAGTGTGGAAACGGCCACCACGCTCAGGAGTCAGCTGCAGACCCTCATAGATCGTCCAGAAAATCAGAAAAAGTTCAGAGAAATTGAGAATCGGCTAGCGGTCAAAGGCCTCCTGCCCTCTCGGAGACTGAACTCTGATGGCCGCAGTACACACACTGACGGATCAGACCCACTGGACGACTCTTTCGGGTCTGACACCGAGCTTCCTGCCCGTAAGGATCACGTTGCAAACCTGTACGATTCACTGGCTGCTGAACTTCGCGAACGACTGAATAACCCAAATAACTGTCCGATTTTGTTACCTCCCAAAGACTACGAAACTGCTTCCAGACATGGGGAAACCGAACAAAGGAAAAATTTGCAAACTCGTAATGTTGGCTTACAGAGACGTCCTCGATCTGCTAATGGAAGACTTGCGAAGCCAAAGGAATCGAGTTCCAGTGGAAAATCCAGTGGAATTGGTTCTGACGAAGCTCTGAGCTCCGCTATTCAGGAAGTGACGTCTCATCCGGATTTCGAGAGTAAAGAAGTTGACCCAGACACCAGTTCAGATGAGGAGGATTGGCCAGAAAGAGAGACGCTTGTTGAAGATGAACAAAACTGGAGACGAGATATTCCTCGCTATCGCCCCCGCTCACCTTCTCCCACCATTAAAGCCCCTCCACCAATCTTGCCTACCTATTCTGACAGCCGACCTTTACCTATGGTTGTTGATAAAAGCAACAGTAAACTAGATAAATTTAAGAATGATCAGGAAAGGGTGAAGGAACCTACTTACAGAGGCTGGAAAGATAATTCGGTACCTTTCTCGTATCACTTACCGCAGGTATCCGATTTAAATAATCGTTTCAATAGAGGTCTCTCGTTGGATAACAAAGCGAGAAATTCTTTACAAGAATATAATGAAAGGAGCGAGATGTATAAAAGAAACAAGATCACAGAAGTGCCTCCTTCTGAACCGAAAGCATATCGTTCATCATCACAATCAAATATCCAGGCCTTGAATCGAACCCCTTCTCCTCCACCAACTAGACATGTATCTGGGCATCATTCTTTTGAGATATCGAAACAACGTAGTCAACCAGAAATTGAGAGGGATCGTCCTTACATGTACGATAGTCGTTTGGCTAAATTTCTAACTGAACAACCAAACGAACGACCAAACCGGCCACTGGAGTACAGTAGACGAATGGAGAGATCATATCACGTGCGGCCAAGCCGTTCTGCTGACCCTATATCTGCCAGTCCTGAACACGCTTCGTCCAGAAGACCTCAATCTCCTGAATCGTATCCAGACCGACCTGCTAGGCGACCCGTTGAGAGATATATCGATAAACGTCGCTCTCAAGCAGGCTTGCTCATAGACGAGCAGAAAAGACGTGGATACTTTGATCTTCCAGTCAACACGAGGGATTATCGACACAGTTTTGCAGAATCAGCCCATCACAGAGTTCCTCTGAACTACAGTTAATAAGGAATTACTGACACAGTCTTGGATAAACAGCACATCACAGAGTTATTTTGAACTATAGATATTGAGGTATTACACAATCTAGCAGAACCAGTTTCTCTGAACAACAGATATTGAGGAATTAAATACACAGTTTCGTAGAACTATCACATCACAGAGTTCCTTGAACAACAGATATTGAGGAATTAGAGACACAGTTTCGTAGAACTATCACATCACAGAGTTTCTCTGAACAACGGATATTGAGGAATTAAATACACAGTTTCGTAGAACTATCACATCACAGAGTTTCTCTGAACAACAGATATTGAGGAATTAGAGACACAGTTTCGTGGAACTATCACATCACAGAGTTCCTCTGAACAACAGATATTGAGGAATTAAATACACAATTTCGTAAAACCAGCACATCACAGAGTTTTTCTGAACAACAGATATTAAAATCTGATTGCTACAAGGATGTGCCACTAAGTAATGTTGCCATAGTAACCTCGTCATTGTATAAATATAAGTGGTTTATATTATCGTACCTTTTCTCTCGTGGGGGAAAAACGACTTGACGTTAGGTTAAACCATAATCGTTATTGCTTTAAAAAGCCTCTTAATTTATGTATATTTTTTATATTGTAAAAGTTCACACGTGGTTATACCATTGAAAAAAAGAATTTTTTTCGATGGTTAAGTAATCTGGAGTTAATACTGATATTGAAAAGAACTCTTAACAGGTGTTGTAATCCTGACAGTCAACTTCCTGTAAAAAGAAACTTTTTATTTAAGGATGATTCGAAAACATTGGAATTCTAATTTATTACGTAATTTGTATGATACGATATGTATATATTAAAAAAAGAAATTGACACTTGGGTGCCTTATACTGGCAAGTGGTGTTACTTTTACATCAAAAGGTAGGGGGCGCTGTACCAGATTTGTTTTCCTGGTGGTGGGCATATTAGTCAGGTGGTGGAGTGCTCTTATCTACTACTCAGTGTTTAGTTCTATAGTTTTTTTTTCTTTTGTTACTGATGGTTTTGGTTTTGTATTTTTGCTGTAAATAGTCTAGTAACGTCATCCGTTCAAGGTTGTTACATCTAAAATTGTTTTTCGTTTGTTGGCGATACTCGGATGTTTGAAACAGTCAAAACGTGCATTTTTGTATGTTATATTTCTTTATGAATACACCACAAAAGATACACTAAATAACCATGTTTTAATGAATGGCATAGTCTTTTTGTGGGTTATTTATATTTTTTTTTATCCCCCATCAATTTTAAGTTATCTATGAACTCCCCTGCAGGTTTGTAATAAAGTAGGCCATTTAATAATGGTACCTAGACGAGTTGAACTTCCGTATAATAACGAATATGGTTTGTACAAAAAAATATTTAATGTCGTTCATTTGTAATTTGAAGACATTTTGTAACATAAACTTCTTTATGTATTTTATTATTCTATTTATTAATAAAAACAAAAAACTCGAGCGATTATTGGTTTATAAAAATGTATCACTGTTTGAAAAGCAAACAAACTCGTAACTGGCTTTTCTTAACACTGAAAATAAAGCTGGTAATTAGCCAATCAGTCGTGTCAGCAAAAAAAGCAGGCGCTATAATTAACTAATGAAACGTTTCAACACAAACACAGTTTGTCAATAAGACGTTTCTACACAAACACAGCTATCCTACTACAATAGAAAGTATTACAGGTTAAGAATTTGTTCATCATAAGTTTGCCAGGATACTACGTAATGAGATTTCGGTTTTCATAAATTTCAATTTACGAAAATTTCATATGTGTACAATTAAATGTTTGTGTGAGAAAAACAAAAAAAAAACCGAATTATTATTTCGAAAAACAATGAGATTACTTATGGATCCCAGTAGACAGAGGTAAGTGTGAAACTAAAACGATACTATTACTTTATTTGTTATTTTAAACGATGTTCTTACGATCATATTTTAAACACCTATAGAGAACTACGTTGGTTTTGGAAGACATTCAACAAACAGAGAAAACATGTAACCCTTAGCTTCATGGGGAAAATGTAATCGAATTTTATCAATACTGATAAATAAAGTTTCACCAAATATTTATTAATAGTAATGAAATATTATAAAAGTTGTGCTACAAAACGCATTTCGCACTTTCAGCTGTGGGTGTGTCGTAAGCGTGGCAGTCATTCCCGCTATTTAGTGCTGCTAACTGAATGCCGTCTCTGGATTGCAGCAGTTTAGACGTAGGGATGGCTGAAACATAAAAGTTTCTGACCTGATCGTTCAGCCCAGATAAACATAAATAAAAAAATGAATGACGTTCATAAAATACTGTTTTGTTATTTACTGTAAACGCAGATAAAATAATGAATGATGTTCATAAAATATTGTTTTGTTATTTACTGTAAACGTACATAAAAAATGAATGACGTTCTTAAAATATTGTTTTGTTATTTACTGTGAACATAGATAAAATAATGAATGACGTTCATAAAATATTGTTTTGTTATTTACTGTAAACGTAGATAAAATAATGAATGACGTTCATAAAATACTGTTTTATTTACTGTAAACATACATAAAAAATGAATGACGTTCATAAAATATTGTTTTGTTATTTACTGTAAACGTAGATAAAATAATGAATGACGTTCAAAAAATACTGTTTTGTTATTTAATGTAAACGTAGATATATGAATGAATGACGTCCATAAAATAGTTTCACTAACTACTGTAAACGAACATAAAATAATGAAGATAGCTGTTGTATGTGGAAACATCTGTTAGTTGAGTTCTTGCACAGATCTTAAAATATAACGTTGATAAACGGAAACATCGGCACATGTAGATCTTGAAAGTCGAGTTGTTTAAAACTT